GGTCTTGTTTTTGCTGACTGTATAGAGCTTCTCCATCTTTGGCTGCAAAGAATATAATCAATCTAATTTCAGTATTGACAATCTGGTGATGTCCATGTGTAGAGTCTTCTCTTGTATTGCTGGAAGACAGTGTTTGCTATGACCAGTGTGTTTTCTTGGCAAAACTCTTAGCCGTTGCCCTGCTTCATTCTGTACTCCAAGGCCTAATTTCCCTGTTACTCCAGGTGTTTCTTTACTACCTACCTTTGCACTCCACTCTCTTATGATGAAAAGAACATCTTTTTACGGTGTTATTTCTAGAAGGTCTTGTAGGTCATCATTGAATTGTTCAACTTCAGCTTCTTCAGCGTTAGTGCTAGAGGCATAGACTTGGATTACTGTGATATTGAATGGTTTTCTTGGAAATGAACAGAGATTATTCATCGTTTTTGAGATTACACCCAATTACTGCATTCTGGCCTCTTTTGTTGACTATGAGGGCTACTCCATTTCTTCTAAGGGATTCAAAGCCCACAGTTGGTCTTCTGAATTAAATTCTCCCATTCCCATCCATTTTAGTTCACTGATTCCTAAAATACCCATGTTCACTCTTCCCCTCTCCTGTTTGACCACATCTAATTTACCCTGATTCATGGACCAAACATTCCAGGTTCCTATGCAATATTGTTCTTTACAGCATCAGACTTTGCTTTCATGACCAATCATATCCAAAACTGGGTGTTGTTTTTGCTTTGGCTGAGCCTCTTCATATTTCCTGAGCTAGTTCTCTGCTCTTCTCCAGTTGCATATTGGGCACCTACCAATTTGGGGAGTTCATCTTTCAGTGTCAAATCTTTTTGCCTTTTCATACTGTTCATGGGGTTCTCAAGGCAGGAATACTGAAGTATTCCTTCAAATTCCTTCAAAAGTAAGTCCTTCAAAAAGACTTATGCCAGCACCACCCTGCTGCTAGGGTGCTGCCAGGATTGTTGTGTTCAGTGTCCCTGACCCCACAATAGGCCCTGCCTCTGCCACAGACTCCTGAACACTCACAGGAAAGTCTGGCTCAGTCTCTTGTGGTGTCACTGCTCCTTTCTCCCGGGTCCTGGTTGCACAAAGTTTTGTTTGTGCCCTCCAAGAATCTGTTTCCTCACACCTGTGAAAGTTCTGTAATCAAATCCCACTGGCCTTTGAAGTTGAGTTCCCTGGGGGTTCTCAGTCCCTTTTTCAGATCCCCAGGTTGGGGAATCTGTTGTGGGCCCTAGAACTTTACAGCAGTGCGAGAACTTCTTTGATATAATTGTTCTCCAGCTTGTGGCTCTATACCCATTGGGTCCATGGTGGGGCTAATGGTGACCTCCTCCATGAAGATTCATGTGACAGTGCCTCCCAGGTCTGTTGCAGCCAGAGTCCCCGTGCCCGAGACAGCCACTGCTGAGCCGTGCCTCCACAGGAGACACTCAGACACTCCAAGGCAGATCTGGCTCAATCTCTTGTGGGGTCTCCGGGTCCTGGTGCCCACAAGGCTTTAATGTAAATGGTCCTCAGTATGTGTAGTTCTCTGATTTTTTCATATCCAAGGTTCTGCATACAGGGATTCAACCAACTGAGGTTGCATAGCATTGTAGTATTTACTACAGAAAAAAACCAAAATTTCAGTGAACTTGTACAGTTTAAACTACAATATTGTAAAGTAATTAGCCTACAATTAATAAAAATAAATGGAAAAAATAAAAATAATTAAAAAAATAAAAAATAAACTGAGGTGCTTAAGGGTCAACTCTATTTGCATAGTTTTTACATTGTATTCACAACTATTTACATAGCATTTACAATGTATTAGGTATTATAAGTAATTTAGAGATGATTTAAAATATATAGAAGGATGTACATTAAATGCAGGCATTAGGCCATTTTATGTAGTGGGCTTGTGCATCTGGTATATTGATATCTTTAGGGGTGTGGGAATCAATCCCCATGGATACCAAGTAACAACTTCAGTTATCTATTTTAGAATTCTATCAAAAAATTCAGACTGTTCTTAAAACTAATAGAGCTCTTCAATGAATTTGGTAGTTGCAGGTTACAAAATTAACACCCAGAAATCTGTTGCATTTCTGTATACTAACAAACAAAAGATCAGAAAGAGAAATTCAAGAAACAATTCCATTTACCATCTCATCAAAAAGAATAAAATACCTTGAAACCTGTCTAGGAGACAAAGGGGGCTTTCCCAGTGGCTCAGCGATACAGAACTCTGCCTGTGACACAGGAGATCCAGGTGTGATCCCTGGGTTAGGAAGATCCCCTGGAGAAGGGAATGGCTACCCACTCCAATAATCTTGCCTGGAGAATTTCATGGATCAGAGGAGCCTGGCAGGGTACAGTCCATGGGGTACAAAAGAGTTGGACACCACTGATTGGCTATCACACACACACACACAAGATGACAAAAGAACTGTACTCTGAAAACTGTAAGGGCCTGATGAAAGAAATAGAAGAAGACATAAGCAAATGATAAGATGTATCATGTTCTTGGATCAGAAGAATGAATATTATCAAAATTACTATACTACCCAAGGTGATCTACAGATTCAATGCAATCACTATCTAATTTGCAATGGCATTTTTCACAGAGCTAGAACAAAAAAAATCTTAAAATTTGTATGGAGACACAAAAGACCCTGAATAGCCAAAACAATCTTGAGAACCAGACACTGTGAAACTCCTAGAGGAAAACATAGGCAGAATATTCTCTGAAATAAATCTCAGCAATATCTTTTTCAATTTATTCCCAGAATAATGGAAATAAAAACAAAAGTAAACAATTGGGTCCTACTTAAACTCAAAGGGCTTCCCTTGTGGCTCAGCTGGTAAAGAATTTGCCTGCAATGTGGGAGACCTGGGTTCAATCCCTGGGTTGGGAAGATCCCCTGGAGAAGGCAAAGGCTACCCACTTCAGTAATCTGGCCTGGAGAATTCTATGGACTGTACAGTCCATGGGGTCACAAATAGTCAGACACGACTGAGTGACTTTTTTTTTAAACTCAAAAGCTTTTGCACAGTGAAAGAAACAAATAAAAAGAAAAGACAACTCACATAATGGCAGAAATTATTTGCAAATGAGGTGAGCAACAAGGAATTAGTGTCTAAAATTTACAGCAGCTCATGACACTTAACAGCATCAAAACAATCAACCCAATAAAAAATAAGGCAGAAGACTTAAATAGAAAATTCACCCAAGAAAGCATATAGATGGTCAAGAGGCACATGCAAAGATGTCCAACATCTCTAATTATTAGAGAAATACCTATCAAAACTACAATGAGATATCACCTCACACCAGTCAAAAATGGCTATCATCAAAAACCCCACAAGCAATAAATACTGGAGAGGATGTGGAGAGAAGGGACCCCTCCTACACTGTTGATAAGAATGTAAATTGGTACAGCCGCTATGGAGAAAGATGGAAGTTCCTTAAAAAAAAAACTAAAGATAGATAAAATAAAAATAAAAATAGACCCTGCAATTCCACTCGTGGGCATACATCCAGAGAAGGACATGTTCCAAAAGGATACATGCACTCCAATGTTCATTGCAGCACTGTTTATAAGAGCACTGTTCATACATGGAAGTAACCTAAAAGCCTGTCAACAGAAGAATGGACAAAGAAGATCTGGTACATGTATACAATGAATATTAGCCATTAAAAACAATGGAAGAATGTCATTTGCAGCAACATGGAAGGACCTAGAGACTGTCATATGGAGTGAAGTCAGACAGAGAAGGAGAAATATCATGTGACATCCCTTGTATGCGGAACTAAAAAGAAATGATACAAATGAACTTATACTTACAAAACAGGAAAAGACTCACAGATATACAGAATGAACTTACAGTTGCTGGGGAGATGGATGGGGGAAAGGGATAGAGAATTAGGGATGGAAATGTACACACTGTTATATTTAAGATGGATAACAAACAAGGACCTACTGTATAGCACATGGAGCTCTTCTCAGTGTTATGTGGCAGACTGTATAGGAGAGGAGTTTGGGGAAGAATAGATTCATGCATATGTATGAATGAGTCCCTTTCCTGCTCTAAGTTTCAGTTTCCTGAAACTATTAGAACATTGTTAATTGGCTATTCCCTGATACAAAATAAAAAGTTAAAAAAAATTCAGACTGTTCTTCAAAGATATTGATTACTAATTATTAAAATTTACATCTTAATCTAGTCATATGAAGCACATTATTATGGAGCTTTAAAAGCTAATAAATTATTTATATTAGCAAATAACTAGATCAGAAGAAAAGCTGACTTGAAACCAATCTACTTCCCAAATCCTGTTAGATAAAAATGAATTGCAAAATAGTGAGCCATAGATTCTTATTTGGGAATTACCAGAAAAGAAAGAAAAATATCCATAAAACAAAAAAAATGTATTTAAAGACATTAATAGGTGACGCATCTATTAATGTCTTTCATCTAAATACATGTGTTATAATATGCATATAATGTTCACTTAAAATCAAATTGGTGGATAGTTATTGGGCTCAATATATTGAAAAAGAGACAAACTTTGAAGGAAAGGAAGAAGCTAGAAACTCAAACTCAAAGGACATTTCACATCAGCTTTTTGTTTATGTATTGTCTATAGTATCTCATGTTCACCATGTATGTGGAAAGTTGTAGAACTCTTACCATTTGTGAAATTGGTTTATATAAATCTGGTCAGTGATGAGAGGATTTATAGACATAATGCCAACACTGTCTCAACTTAAAAGTGTAAGGCAATTCTAATCACCCTTCCTCCATCGCAATTAAAACACTGAAAACTTTTGACTTTTAGATCAGCTGTTTTGCCTCAAATATCACTTAGGAATCATGGCTGCCTAAGTATAATAAGCTAAAACACACACAGGAAAGAATTCTACATGAAAGGTATGCCTTAGGCATCAAGGGGAAAAGTCAGAGTTTTTTTGTTTTTGAGAATTACACTTCTTTAAGCTATCTCTTACCTGCTGATGTTTGCACAATTTCTGTGGTGTTTCTGAGGCCCATGAAGTCAAACTGATAAAGCCGCCAGGATTTCTGATCTGCTGCCTCAACTGAATTTTTTCTCCATCTATAAATCATTTCTTCTTTGGGGTAGCCATCTAAAAATGCAAAACAAATATTAACGCTTGAAGACATAGGATTGTAACACATTAAAGTCATTATAATTTTGACCACTTAATAGGAGTTGAAATTTTAGTCCATATTTAATCATTAACTTTTCCTCATATGCATAGAAACTCCAAAAATGAATGGGAAATGGCCACTTAACCCAGAAGATTTCTGCTGCAGATCTTCATGATCAACAAAAGGTAAACAGCCATAAGCCATGTGTGTGTGAACATAGAATATATATCTCTCATTGTGGAGGGCTTGGTAGTAGTTGACATTCAAAGTATAGATCTGATCTAACTGCCTGGCTCACTCTCATCAGACCTTCTGAACTTTTCCAGAGCTTAGTCTGTCCAGATCTCAGGAAAGGAAAATTTACTTTTTTATTATAAACTTTATTATATATATAGCTTTTATTATTTATTACATATTTATATTTATGATTATTATTGAAGAGTAGTTGATGTACAATATTACGTAGTTTGTTGTTGTTGTTCAGTGGCCAAGTTGTGTCCAACTGTTTGCAACCCCATGGACTGCAGCATGCCAGGCTTCCCTGTCCATCACCAACTCCCAGAGCTTGCTCAAACTCATGTCCATCAAGTCAGTAATGCCATTCAACCATCTCATCCTCTGTCAAACCTTTCTTCTCCTGCTTTCAATCTTTCCCAGCATCAGGGTCTTTTCCAAGGAGTCAGTTCTTCACATCAGGTGGACAAATTATTGGAGTTTCAGCTTCAGCATCAGTCCTTCCAATGAATATTCAGGACTGATTTCCTTTAGGATGGACTGGTTGGATCTCCTTACAGTCCAAGACTCTCAAGAGTCTTCTCCAACACCACAGTTCAAAAGCATTAATTCTTCGGCGCTCAACTTCCTTTATAGTCCAACTCTCACATCCATACATGACTACTGGAAAAACCGTAGCTCTGACTAGACAGACTTTGGTTTGCAAAGTACTGTCTCTGCTTTTTAATATGCTGTCTCAGTTGGTCATAGCTTTTCTTCCAAGGAGCAAGTGTCTTTTAATTTCATGACTGCAGTGACCTTGCTCTTGCTCCTCTTGCACCAAATGCATTCATTTTCTCACTGTTGAGAATAATGTTTGCCATGGATTTGTTGTATATGGTCTTTATTATGTTGAGGTTTGTCCCTTCTATGCCTACTTTCTGGAGAGTCTTTATCATTAACCAGTGTTGAATTCTGTTAAAAGCTTTCTCTGCACCTGTTGAGAATATCATATGTTTTTTGCCTTTCAATTTGTTAATATTGTCTATTACATTGGTTGATTTACATATACTGAAGACTCCTTGCATTACTGGGATAAAGCCCACTTGATCTTGATGTATGATCCTTTTAATGTGCTATTGGATTCTGTTTGGTAGAATTTTGTTGAGGATGTTTGCATTTATGTTTATGAGTGATATTGGCCTGTAATTTTCTTTATTGTGATATCTTTATCTGGTTTTGGCATCAGGGTAATGGTGGCCTCATAGAATGGGATTGAGAGTTTTCCATCTGCAATTTTCTGGAAGAGTTTGAGCAGGATAGGTGTTAACTCATCTCCAAGTTTTAGAAGAATTCACCTGTGATGCCATCTAGCACTCTGCTTTTGTTGTTGAAAGATTTTTTTATTACAGCTCTGATTTCTGTGCTTGTGATTAGCTTGTTGAGTTAAGTTGCTCAGTCGTGTCTGACCCTTTGCAACCCCATGGACTGTAATATGCCAGGCTTCCATGTCCATCACCAACTCCTGAAGCATACTCAGACTCATGTCCATCGAGTTGGTGATGCCATCTAAGTATCTCATCCTCTGTCATCCCCTTCTGCTCCTGCCTTCAATCTTCCCCAGCATCAGGGTCTTTTCCAATGAGTCAGTTATTTACATGAGGTCGCAAAAGTATTGGAGCTCCAGCTTCAGCATCAGTCTTTTCAATGAATATTCAGAACTGATTTCCTTTAGGATTGACAAGTTTGATCTCCTTGCAGTCCAAGGAACACTGACGAGTTTTCTCCAATACCACCACAGTTCAAAAACATCAATTCTTCAGTGCTCAGCTTTCTTTATGGTCCAACTCTCACATCCATACATGACTACTGGAAAAATCATAGCTTTGACTAGACAGACATTTGTCACAAAGTACTGTCTCTGCTTTTTATTATGTTGTCTAGATTGGCCATAGCTTTTCTTCCAAGGAGCATTCATCTTTTAATTTAGTGGCTATAGTCCCTATCTGCCATGATTTTGGATCCCAAGAGAATAAATTCTGTCACTGTTTCCATTGGTTCCCCATCTATTGGCCATGAAGTGATGGGAATGGATGCCACGATCTTAGTTTTTTTAATGTTGAATTTTAAGACACCCTTTTCACTCTCCTCTTTCACTTTCATCAGGAGGCTCTTAAGTTTCTGTTCACTTTCTGCCATAAGGGTGATGTCACCTGCATATCTGAGGTAATTGATATTTCTCCCAGCAATCTTGATTCCAGCTTGTGCTTCATCCAGCCTGGCATTTTGCATGATGTACTCTGCATATAAGTTAAATAAGCAGGATAATAATATACAGCCTTCAGTGGCTCAGTTGTGTCTGACTCTTTGCAAACCCATGGACTGCAAAAAAAAAAAATCTTTCTTTGTATAATTCTTCTGTTTATTTTCACCACCTCTTCTTTTTTTTTTTCATTTATTTTTATTAGTTGGAGGCTAATTACTTTACAACATTGCAGTGGTTTTTGTCATACACTGAAATGAATTAGCCATGGATTTACATGTATTCCCCATCCCGGTCCCCCGTCACACCTCCCTCTCCACCTGATCTCTTAATATCGTCTGTTTCTGTTAGATCCCTACCATTTCTGTGCTTTATTCTGCCTGTCTTTGCATGAAATGTTCTCTGGATAGCTCTAATTTTCTTGAAGAGATCTCTAGTCTTTCCCATTCTATTGTTTTCCTCTATTTCTTTGCACTGATCACTGAGGAAGGCTTTCTTATCTCTCCTTGCTAGTCTTTGGAACTCTGCATTCAAATCAGTATACTTTTCCTTTTTTCTTTTGCCTTTAACTTCTCTTCTTATCTCAGCTATTCATAAGGCCTCCTGAGGCAACCATTTTGCCCTTTTGCATTTCTTTTTCTTGGGGATGGTCTTAATCACTACCTTCTGTACAATTTCACAAATCTCTGTCCATAGCTTTTCAGGCACTCTATCAGATCTAATCCCTGGAATCTATTTGTCACTTCCATTGTATAATCGTAAGGGATTTGATTTAGGTTATACCTGAATGGTCTAGTGGTTTTCCCTACTTTCTTCAATATAAGTCTGAATTTGGCAATAAGGAGTTCATGATCTGAGCCAGAGTTAGCTCCTGTTCTTCTTCTTGCTGACTGTATAGAATTTTTCTATCTTCAGCTGCAAAGAATCTAATTAATCTGATTTTGGTATTGACCAAATTGGTGATGCCATGTGTAGAGTTATCTTTTGTGTTGTTGGAAGAGGGTGTTTGCTACTGCCAGAGTGTTCTCTTGGCAAAACACTGTTATCCTTTGCCCTGCTTCATTTTGTACTCCAAGGCCAAAGTTGCCTGTTACTCCAGGTATCTCTTCACCTCCTACTTTTGCATTCCAGTCCCCTATGATGAAAAGGACATCTTTTTGGGGTGTTAATTCTAGAAGGTCTTGTAGGTCTTCGTGGAACCATTCAACTTCAGCTTCTTTGGCATTATGGCTTGATGCATAGACTTGGGTAACTGATATTGAATGGTTTCCCTTGGAAATGAACAGAGATCATTCTGTCATTTTTGACAATGCACCCAAGAACTGTATTTTGGACTCTTGCTGACTGTGAGGGTTATTCCATTTCTTCTAAAGGATTCTTGTCTACAGTAGTAGATATAAAGGTATTCTGAATTAAATTTGCCCATTCCAGTCCTTTTTAGTTCACTGACTCCTAAATAGTCAGTGTTCACTCTTGCCATTTCCTGTTTGACCACTTCCAATTTACCTTGATTCATGGACCTAACATTCCTGGTTCCTATGCATATTGTTCTTTACAGCATTGGACTTTACTTCCATCACCAGTCATGTCCACAGCTGGGCGCTGTTTTGGCTTTGACTCCATCTCTTCATTCTTTTTGGAGTTATTTCTCCACTCTTCTCCAGTAAAATATTGGGTACCTATGAACCTAGTGAGTTCATCTTTCAGTTTCATACCTTTTTGCCTTTTCATACTGTTCATGGTGCTCTGAGAGCAAGAATGCTGAAGTGGTTTGCCATTCCTTTCTCCAGTGGACCATGTTTTGTCAAAACTCCCCACTTTGACCCATCAATCTTGGGTGGCCCTACGTGGCATGGCTCATAGTTTCATTGAGTTAGACAAGGCTGTGGTCCATGTGATCAGTTTGATTAGTTTTCTGTGATTGTAGTTTTCATTCTGTCTGCCCTCTGATGGATAAGGATAAGAGGCTTATGGAAGCTTCCTGATAGGAGAGACTGACTTTGGGGCAAACTGGGTCTTGTTTTGATGGGTGTGGCCATGATCAGTAAATCTTTAATACAATTTTGTGTTCCCTCCCTTTTTATTGGCCTGAAGCCAAACTATGGTAGGATACTGAAGCTAATGGTGACATCCTTCATAAGGACTTGTTCAGGCACCCTTGTATTCAGTGCCTCTGACCCTGCAGCAGGCCACTCTCTATCCACGTCTCCACCGGAGACTCCTGGACACTCATCAGCAAGTCTGGCTCAGTCTCTGTGGAGACACTGTTCCTTTCTCCTGGCTCCCGGTGCACACAAGGCTTTGTGCCCTCCAAGAGTCTGTTCCACTAGTCCTGTGAAAGTTCTGTAATCAGATTCCCCTGGCCTCCAAGGTCAAAGGGATTTTCAGTCCCTTTTGAGTACCATCTACAAAATTTAAGTTTTGCATGCTCATTTAAAATATGAAAATCATCTGTATCTTATGTTAGAGCTGTAAAAAGAAATTTGGAAAAAAATGACA